TGTAAAATACGATCAAATCATTTATCCATTATTATAATCAAGGTACCTATTTAAATTTTTTGTTACCATACAAATTTATAGTAAATTATTTCAAGCTAATTTGTATGTGTTTTAATGCTATGTTGGTATGTATGTAATTCTCTACTTCAATCTATATTTATGAAAAAAAATAACAATCTCATTTTTAATGAATACAAAATAATTTTTCCTGTTTTAAAATATGTTTATAGAAATTATTTTAATTTGTTTTTGCATGACATCTGTAGCAATAGTTTTAATAATGTATAACTGTTATATTTATAATTTATTAAATAATTTAACGTTGCAAACAGAAGTATAATGCTTAATTTCTTATAAAAATTCAAAAAACAGATATACCTACTGTACGTTTCAGGCACGTAAACGGGATTTTGAAAGGTCTGCATTTAAATTTAATATTTAATTACAACTTAAAGGAGGTACCATTTCACACATATAATATATTTTTTGTACACAAAACACCTCCAGTTATATTACGTGTAGCTGAAAAACGTTTTAAAAAAGTTTTCGTTAATTCTTAATATAAAATCGAAAACACAATGCAACTTCTATCGACGAATTTACTCTTATTGAATAACATTTCTACATTTTAAACGATATTGATATAATTTGTAAATCATTTTTGTTGGTAAGTTAGGAGAAGAAGCTATGATTGCCATATAATAATGTAAAGTTAATACACCAATGCAACTTCATAAAAGGCTTAATCAAATTTTTTACATATTCTTACAAATTAAAATAAAATAACCATTCAATTTAACTGAATATCTTTAAATATTTAAGTCTCATTGGTAGATTTTAATATAACCGTAAAAATTTTTGATTTTTTTTTTTGTTACAGCATCAACATCAAGGTAATTAACTTACAATTAGACTATTTAGTTACATAAAGGGTTTTTATAATGATGTTAATATTAGAATTGTTACAATATATTTTTGATTATTTTACGAGGGTGTAGTCAAGCATCGAWATTCCAAGATCAATATAGTACTCCACCCATTATAAGTGAATATGCCTACGAACTATTAGGTAATTTTAATTTTTTTTTTTTTTTTAATTTACTGTACTTACACTAATTTTATTGCAAGGAGAACAAAGTACGTAACTGATAGTCAACCTCATATCATTGATTTATCATTTATTTTCTGGTAAGCATGAACGTGTTCCATGTTTTTATTAAAAACCATGTAAGTACAACCGTTATTACAGATTACGAAAAATAATAAACCTCCTATTAAAATTTAAATGTGTATTTTTAAATTTAAATTTAATCTTATTATTACCAATAATATAGTTGTAATCTATTTTGAAAGGAAACGTATGTTTTTTTCTTAATGAAAAATTTTTATTTTATAATATTGTGAACACACTAATAAGTAAAACACATTATTTAATTCATATTTGATCTGTCATTATATTAACTAAACTATGAGAATTCAAAAACCCTAAACTCGGAATGTAATGTAAAAAAAAAAAGATATTTTTTCCCAAATCTCGCACAGTACTGCGACTTTGACTATAATCAATAATTAATGTTTATTTCTCGATTCAATCTTCATTTAAAATGTATAATATTTTGAAGTTTATTATTCCTGTTAGTTATCAAAATCAGTATCGCCACGATATTAAACAAAATAAAATACAAATATTTAGTTTAACTTACGTAAATGTACAAAAGTTTTTAAACTTACTTTTCCATTTGTTTTGTAGTTTTCTGTGTTTAACATAAACGAATTTTCTACCTGGGTAAATTGCATACCTTTTGAAGTACCTACTTTATAAAAATATTTTAATATGAAAATGTGATAAAAATGTTTACCATGTTTAAAGAAAACTCTTACCGTAAGAACTATACGATTTTAAACATTATAGATACTTTTAAGTGTGTGTTCTAACAGCGCTGGTAATATGTTGTTATTTTAAAAGTTGAAACAATTTTTTTTCTGAGAGATTAATGTAAATATTATAATAAATTGCACATAGCTATATAGTTTCTTGAACTGAAAACATTTTTCTTGTTCTCGTAATATTACTCGATTTTGGTTGTGCATCTCAAACTAACCTCATAAACTCA